CCTCCTAATCATATTCAGCTACACAGCACAGTGACACTGCAGTCATTTGGATACTGATAACCAGCAGGCTTTGAATTCTAGTAGAATCAGTAACAGCTGAATATCATCATTTCTGCTTCATTTAGTAACAGTGGTGATAAATATGAATGTCTCTCTGCGTTCTGCTGCTCTGAATATGTTCCTTAGTGTACCCATTCCCTTTTCACAGTCAACATGCTATTTTGACTTAATAATAGTTGATGTAACTTACCTGCATTCTCTCTCTTGAGCTCTGCCACCTCGTTTTCACTGGAGCTCATTCTGGTTTCCAACACTGTCAACACATTTCACTTATTCATCCTAAACTAGTATTATGGTCGTCAGGTTTCACATTTTTCTTGACGTTTGATGACTTTGTTTTCATACCTGTGATCTTGTTTTCACTCGCTGTTACTCTGGCCAGAAGATCTGTGATAATGGGAAATTTACTGTGCAGGTTACTAGATGATCAACAACCAGATATAATAACTCATAATTATTGCTAAAACAAATCTCCACTCCTCTCACTTTTGGACATCACATCTGAGAGAGTTTTACACAACAACATGTTTTCTAATCCGCCTGTAACAGGCAATGTGTATTTTTCAGTGGTGTTTATTTAACTCACCTGCATTCTCTCTCTTGAGCTCTGCCACCTAGTTTTCACTGGAGCTCATTCTGGTTTCCAACACTGTCAACACATTTCACTTATTCATCCTAAACTAGTATTATAGTTGTCAGGTTTCACATTGTTCATGGATTTTTTTTGTCATCTTACCTGTGATCTTATTTTCACATGTGGTTACTCTGGCCAGAAGATCTGTGATGAACAAAATGATGCTCAGCAGGTTAATAGTTCTTCAACAGTTCAGGGGAGTAGTGGAATACATGTAATTAAATTAGTAATTTAACCACATTTTGCAGCAGCTTGCTGGTAGTTCAACTGCATTCATTTCAGCATAGTGATCCAAGTAGTTAAGTTACTTTCTGGCCATGTTTTCTGTGGTTAATGACTGAAACTACAAACAAATTTGGGCCATAAATTCTTTTTATTTCGCCATTGCTTCTCTCTGTAATTGAACCCCTTTGACCAGTCCTGCCTCATTTTTCTTTCATCTTGACCGCAGTGAAGGAATGTCGGAAATCCATTCATGAGCCAGAATTAGTAAAACTAATCTTGAACACATTAGGTGTCAGTTAGTCAGAAATATTATTGCCACTTATCAACAAATGCTTTGAGAAGTTGCTATTGCCTGCTATTTTAGAAGTCACTTGATTAACTGAGTAATCCTGCATTTTTCTGTAATCCTACCTGTGATTTTGTTTTCACTCGCTGTTACTCTGGCCAGAAGATCTGTGATGAAGGGGAAATTACTGTGCAGGTTAATAGATGATCAACAACCAGATGTAATAACTCATAATTATTGCTAAAACAAATCTCCACTCCTCTCACTTTTGGACATCACATCTGAGAAAGTTTTACACAACATGTTTTCTAATAGGCCTGTAACAGGCAATGTGTATTTTCCAAAGGTGTTCATGTAACTTACCTGCATTCTCTCTCTTGAGCTCTGCCACCTCGTTTTCACTGGAGCTCATTCTGGTTTCCAACACTGTCAACACATTTAACATGTTTAATTGTAAAACAAAATTATAGTCATCACTTTCAACCAGATGTAAAACCTCATTTAAAGCTATAGTGCGTAACTTCTGTCGCCTCCCAGCGGATAATGCGTTATTACAACTAATAAGCCAGCGGCACTTCCATGTACACAGAGTAACACTCGCCAGTCGCCACACACCGTACACAGAGTAACACTTGCCTTTGTGGTAGGATCCACTTATGAACTGTGTCTCGGCCGCTTCTCCGCCATGTTGCTTTCTCTTTCTACCTGCGCTCTACCTCTTGCTATGACACTTTCCGCTCTTCCTCCCCCTCCCTTCTTGTGGTGAGGAAGCATTTCCTGTGTGCCAGCGCGGGAATGTCGCCGGTCAACACGCATACTAAAAATGATATATATTGAAAAATACTGCAAGATGTTAGAGAAGCCGATCGGCTTAATCAGCATTGTGTCATCTCCTCTAGTAGTGGCTTGGGTGAAACGGACATTTACGGACCTGTAGAAGTTACGCACTATAGCTTTAAATGTAAATGTTTCTACAAAATCTTTAAACAATGCTTCTGTTAATTTTCCACATCACATTTGGAATAGTTTTACACAACAACATGTTTTCTACCACACTATAATTCGTACTTTTTAATTATGTTCTGTAGCTTACCCATGTTTTCTCTCTGAAGCTCCTTGACCACATCTTCATAGAAGCTCATTTTGGCCTCCAAAACTGTGAACACATTTAACATTTCGTTTATTGTAAAGTAGGTTCATGGTAGTTACATTTTATTGTGGAGTTTGACCAAATACTGAGTTAATTCACATTTGAATTAATTCATATCTTTATATATAATTAAACTGATGTAAATGTATTTACCTGCATTCTTGCTTTCACTGGCTGTCAGTCTGGCCTGTGTGGCTGGGTGTAAAGCATTAAAATAGTGCATGAATCTGTGCAGCACTGTGTGACTGACACTCAGTATGTTTTATGATGTGTATCACCTGCATTCTCTTGCTCCAGCTTCTCTATCTTGCTCCTGTGTTCGATGGCCATGTCTCTCAGCTCCTTGAGCTCAGCCCAGATGTCAGGGCTGATGTTGGTCTGGCTGCTGCTCTGATCATGGGCTGTTCCAACACTCTGTATCTCAAACTGAACCTCTTCCTGCCTGTTTCCCCCCTCTGTCTCAGCGTCTGTCCCTGTCACCTCTCCACTCTCACCCTGAGCCCACGTCCAATGCAGACAGAGCAACAACGCCAGAAAAACTACAGCACTCCTCATTATGAAATATCACCTGTTTAGACAGCCAGATGCAGTCTGACACGTCTACTTTGATTCCCGTCTTTATATACACGTAAAACAGCTCAGTGAAGAGGCGTATGAGAATCAAACAGATGTCTTTGATAACAAATTTAAAAATACCTCCAAACATCCTTGAACACTGAGCTGATTTTAAAGCCAACACACCTTTGTGTGTGTGTGTTAGTTTCCTCAACTTGGGTTAAACTATCCTTTTATAAGCCTGTGATGTCCTGTACTAATGTGTGTAAAAACCTTCTCTTCACAGGTTTACATAGTGCTCAATGGAGAAGATGGGTTCTCGCAGACAAGAGAACTACAAGTTGCAGGATGCACATTATTCCGGAGGAACTCTCAAGACACCTTTATACTCAGGTAAAATTCAGATGATACTACTATAATACAACATAATACTTAGAGTAGCTTTAAGTTTGGGTTGATCACTCATCAAGTCTTTTTTGATGTATTCTTCGTCTCTGATGCCACAGTGCAGCAGAGAGCCTGGGCCCAGTGTGGGGGGTTCACATCTGGCATGACAACTCTGGACCCTCCCCAAGCTGGTACCTCAAACAAGTGAGGGTATGTGAGGTAAGAGCCACCTGTTTGTGAATGTGTTGCTCCTCCTGTGTGTGTGTATGGACTGTAAGTTGACCATGATGAGGGTTTATTTGTGTACTTTTAATACAGGTGAGCAGGGGGCATGCGATGGGACGTGCTTGGCTCTTCATTGGTCAGTGTTGGTTGGGTGTAACTAAAGGCGATGGCCGGGTGGAGAGATCGCTGCGAGTTTGCACTCAGCAAATAGGCTTTGCTAAGGTAGAGCGCTCACACTCAGATACAAAAAACAACACCTTTAATCGCTTCTTTCATGTGACCCTGGGCCTCCACCTGTATTCACAGATGTTGCGTCTCAAGCTATCTGAGTACTTGGCCGACCACCATATCTGGATGTCTGTGCGCAGCTGTCCCCATCCTAACTCATTCACACACACTCAAAGACTTAGCGTGTGCCTGCTGCTTGTGTTGGGATATGCATGTGTCAACACAGTAATCATATCACAGATGGATGATCGGGTAGGTAACAAAACCTTGAGAGTTCGAGTTTTGGTGCACAAGAGATCCAAAACATGTTACCTGTAACGCCTGATCTCTTGTTTACAGTTGCCATGTGAGTTGGGCTTTGTGGATGTATCAGCTGTTTCCGTGACGACGGGAGTATTAAGCGTGATGTCAGTGTTGCCTGCAGCAGCAATTATATCACACCTCTTCCGACTGCGTGAGGTCAAATTGACAGCGTCAGGAGTCCAACACGCAGAGAACAAAACGACTGAGAAGGACTTCTTTGAAGGTGATGTTTAGGTTTACTTGGACTGAGTGGGGGGGTGGCATGGTGGTGCAGTGGTTAGCACTGTCGCCTCACAGCAAGAGGGTTCCTGGTTCGATCCCAGGTGGGAGCCCTTCTCTGCGGAGTTTGCATGTTCTCCCCCTGTCAGTGTGGGTTTTCTCCGGGTACTCCGGCTTCCTCCCACAGTCCAAAGACATGCAGGTTGATTGGTGACTCTAAATTGTCCGTGGGTGTGAATGTGAGGATACCTCAATTGTACAACAAGTTTAATCGGCATCTTGATATGCCACACCTGTCAAGTGAATGAATGAATGAATGAATGAACTACAATTCAGACGGAGAGACAAACAATAAAGGAATAAAGCCATGCAATTATACAACACTAATTCAAGGAAAAAGAGAAGAATAAGTAAAATTATCAATCAGTAATCAATCAATCATTAAATTTTTTTTATTAAGAATATCAAAACAGAAAGCTGCTAGCTATAGGCTCTATTAAAAAGGTATGTTTTGAGTCATCCTTTAAAAGTGTCTACTGAGCCAGCATGTCCAAAATTTTATGGCAGTAGTAGCTAAAAGATCCCGAAAAGGTTTCATTCAGGTTTCATTCAGTTCAGGTCTCATTCGGAACAGTTAAAGGAGCAGCTGCGGAGGATCTAAGGATTCATGGAGGGACATAAGGTGATAGAGAATCTATTATATAGGAGGGGGCGATGCCATTAAAAGCCTTAAAAACCAAAAGAAGGATTTTAAAATCAAATCTAAAAGTCACTGGGAGCCAGTGTAGGTTACGCAGAACAGGAGTTACATGGTCTCTCTTTTTAGTTTTTGTTAAAACCTGGGCAGCAACGTTCTGAGTGGTCTGTAGTTTTGCAATGGCAGTTTCAGGTAGGCCAGTGTATAGAGCATCACAATAGTCAAGATGATGGAAACAAGCAGGGAAAAGCTTCTCAGCATCTTGCTGGCTCAGTAGAGGTCGTACCTTAGCTATATTGCCTAAATGATAAAATGCCATTTTTGTCAACAAATTAAAATGAGCTTTAAAATTGAGATCACAATCAAAAATTACATCGAGGTTTCTTACTTGCCCGCTCCCATGGGTTTTAAGAAATTTGCCACCAAAACTTGAGAGAAATAAACCCACTGAATGCACGAAAAAAAGCCTTAGATCCTTAAATTAGACCTGTGAAAAATGGAAGGAAAAACAAAAGTGTTGGGTTTAAAGTTCTGTCCAGTGTAGTTCTACTAGATCTGAGCATCAGATTGGTTTTAAGAACAATCTACCAGTTGTAACACAAGTATAAATGGTAAATGTAGAAAAGTAAAAGCAGAATACTGGCTAAGTATTAAGTAAAGAGTAGAAGTACAGTCTAAGAAAAGGAACATGAAAAGTATGCATTCTTCATGTCCTTTTTTACTTAAAATGCGTTACTATTCCTCCCTGTTTACTTGTTGTTTTGTCTCCTAACAGATACCCCTTCAGTAAATGACAGCACACTTCAGCAGTGGTCCCAAGAAGCCTGGAGGAGGAAATACCAGGTTACATCTCGAGCATTTATCTTTTTCTGTCTTCTCTCTCTCACTCTTTCACTTTCTCTTCAGCATTTTTCATCCCTATCTGACCCTTCTCCTTGTGTTGTAGGGAACAGACCTGCTGTCAGTGTCCAATACCATTCTGGAAAATCAAAACAGAGATAAAGAACCTGCCATCCAAACAGATGCGGCCATAGGAGAAGGAGAGGCTCTACCAGATGAAAACTTGTTGCTGACCACCGAGGGAAACAATACTGAACAAGCACCTCAGGGAAAAGAGTTACATCTGTTAAGTGAAAGAACTCAGAGAGCTCTTCTGTCCAGTAAGGGGGATGGAGGTGAAGCTATTCCGGAGGAGAAAGATTCTCAAGGGAAAAGGAAAGACGGCAGCCGTCACTGGGCAGCATGGTCTGGTAACAGCAGTTTCTCCCACATCAGCGACAGCCTGAATCAGAGAGGATTCAGACCAGTATCTCAGTGTTGTCACTATTTGGCCTGGACATTGTGTCTGCTGTTGTCCCTTCTCTGCCTGGTGCTCTCCGCGATGCTGGGAATGAGGTAGCAGATGTGTTTTGGCATTAAGTGGATGAATGTGGAGATGTATAAATGACTAAATGTGAAGCCAGTGGGGTTGATTATGCCTAATTGATTTAGTTTTAACTACGGCTGTACCAGATGGTTTGAAGCTTAGAAGCTTTGTTCATAATGTTGACATTCGAAGTCTCCATCAACATTTTAAAGGCGTTTTAAACTTGAAGTTGCTGCACAGTTGCAGATAAAGATAAGATCACACTGCTATTATAGTATTTGTAGAGTTAAAGTCCAGTGGTGGCTGCGTAGGGTTGTTTCCGACGAGCCCGGCCTCACTCTGAAGTCGTCGAAATCCAGCGCCTGAGCAGTGACTTGCAGCGTCAGAAACCAATGAATAAAAGTGTCCTTTAACGTTGGCATGATGCGCGGCCCGTTTAACGGTGCCCAGGGGCATCAGGGGGAAACACGGCAGGACAAGGACAAAAGTTAAGGCCGCGAAAGTCTGACTGGGGCAGGCAGAAGGGCTGGTGGATGGGTCCAACAAACACTGACTTTCACCCAAGAGAGCAGTGTTCGCATCCTGTAAGATTCAAAAGCCAAACTCTGTTCTTTTTTCCTAAACCCAACAGTGTGTTTGTTGTTGAAGGAAAAAAAAGTGTCAATTCACTGTGTTGTATTGACATAGTGCTTTTATTCTGAAAGAGACTGTATGTAAATGTTAAATCTCTTGTGAAAACGGAGGTGTATTTTGAAAGAAGACAATGCATGTAACAGGCTGAACCTCAACAACCAATGCACCCAGAGTACCTTGCACGTCGTATGTTGACGTGGACAGTCCATGACCAAACACTGATATGTGATGAGGTCAGAGTGAGAATGTGTTGTTTCAACTTGTGTGTGATCTAAACATTTCCAATAACTCCAGAGCCAAAAATCAAAAATGATTGACAAAAAGGTAGATGTAATCATTTCCAAAATTCACAAGATGTTTTTATCAAACAAAATATTCTGCTTCAGTCCATATTTGTTGGCTTTTAGTCTTTAAAAAACATTTTCACTGCTGTCAAAGGCACACAGCTGTATTAATGGGGCAGTCTAACAGCACCATAAATGTAAATTATTCATGAAAGAAAGCTGATTTGATTTTTTTTTTTTTTTTAAAGAGTAACTCATTTAATTTGATGAATCACTTTATTCAAATTGAGATTTTTGTTGGAGGTTTTTAAACTTTTTTTCGGGTAAGAAAATATGACAACAGACATTCAAAGCTTCATTCAAAACCCTCAATAGCAGCTTTGAACGTAATAAAAAAGAAAATGACATTAGTACAGTCCTGCTGTTAACACAGACTTCTGGAAACATGATTTATATTCTGTGTTAAAACTTCTGAGTCAAAACTATGTATGTGTGTGTGTTTTCACATGTCAGGTTCAGCAGCAGCAAGGTCCTCCTATGGATACACTCTCTTTTCTTCTCCCTGATGTCTTGCATCTTCCTCATCCAGCCAGCTGTGGTAAACTAATACCAACCTTTTATAAATTATATGTCCAATTTTTGAAAAATCATATAATCTTTAATCCTAAATGAGAATTATCTAGAAAATAAATGCAATTTAACACTTATCTTTTTGCACTGTAAATATAAAAACATGTTCCTTTTCTTTTCCAGATAGTTACAGTGGCAGTGACTGTCTGCTTCTGGTTGAGGAAAAGAGCAGACTTTCACAGTTTCTCCAGTATAAGAGAGTTTCAGATAGGGACACCAAAACTGCAGAGCCACAGTGGTGCTAATCAAACAGCAGAGCAGTTCGGGACATCAGGCTTTCCTCAGGAAAGATGCTCATACCTTGAAAAGGTGATAGCCTGACTCCTATATTTTATTGTGTTCTCATCTGTTCTGTTTCTATTAAAACAGTGGTTCCCAACTTCAGCCACAGGGTTCAGATTTCTCCTTAGTCATTCGTTCAAGGCCCATACAGATTAATATATTCAGTGTCATACTTGCATCTGGCCATATTGTTGAGCTAGTTTGCTGTGTCTGCCAAGTAGCTGTCCATTGCACACTTAAGCGGGATTTATACTTGTGTCAACTTAGAGCCTTCACTGTACCCTACGCTGTAGCCTGACGTGCACCGCCCCAGAAATTTAACTACATGTCACAGCAGACACAGACCTCCTGTGTATTTTTGTAAGCTGAAACCATTTGCCTCAGTTTATTTATTTTAATTTCACAGATAAGAGACAATACATTGTAAAGACAATAAAGCCTCCACAAATTAGCATATTAAGACTTGTGTGTGATTTATCCTGGCTTCATACGAGTAGAGGAAATCTCTACTAGTCACTAGGCTAATTTATACAATGTAAAATACCATAGACTTGTGCTAATAACGTTAGCATGTTGTATTTGTTCAGAAAATGTGTTTAGTATAAGACAGTTGTTTTGTTGATGAACATTGTGAGTTGTAAAGGAGCTGAATTTTGTAACGTTACCTTTGTTAAATGTTGCTGTTGTCCCTGGCTTCATATGAGTAGAGGAAAAGTCTGCTAGCTGCTCGGCTAATGTGTACAATGTAAAATGCCACAGGCTGGTGCTAATAACGTTAGCATGTTGTATTTGTGGGGAAAATGTGTCCAGATAAAGACAAGTGCTTTGTCTGTGAATGCTGCGAGTTATAGTGAAGCTGATGTTTGAAATTGTCTCTATTAAGCCATGTTTAATGTGTGTTTAATGTGAGTTTTGAATCAACTAAACTTTACAGCACTTCACAGAAACCCTACAACAGACTAAAGTTTTGGAGGTGTAACTGCAGAGTGACACAGACACACCACAAATATAAATGCTCACAACAGCGTAGGCTACGTGCATAGGCTACAGCATAGACTCTACATAAAGCAGACGCACAAATATAAATCCGCCTTTACTCTACAGCAGGACACAGCACTTCAAAATAAATGCTTTGTGCTGGAAATTAGATGTACCTAAAAATTGAGTGTTTTTTACAAACTATGTGTAAAAAATGTGTTTAAACAAAGAGTAAATGATCTCTGATTGACAGGTGCTTGGAGCTCGTCAGCGAGCCCGGTACCTCCGTTTTGTGCAGCCACCAACTCCAGCAGAGCTGAGGAAAACTCGTGGGAAGAAAAGAAGAGAGGCTTTCATCCAGAACACTCTCAGGTGAGTCTTTGTGTATGTGTGCACCTGTTTGTATACGTTTTAATGCTGTTTAGGTGATTATCTCCTCCTTTTGTCATCCAGGGATTTGTCTGTCTGTGGCTCCATGCTCTTCCTGATGCTGTGTATTAATCATGGCAGCTCATTCAATGACCATCACCACCTCAATAAAGCTGTCAGACAACAGTTTATAAGGTAACATTTGCACATACGCACGCTGTCTCTCCCTTTGTCACTGTTGCTCTCTGATAAACACACTCCAAAATCATATTTTATCTCTCAACAGGGGCCATGATATTTCATTTATGTCCATACAAAAGCATGAAGACTGGTGGAAGTGGGCGCACACCAGTCTGATTAACTTACTGTACAAGAACACATCAGCTGAGGTGAGCTACAAAAGCTCTGCAGAGATTCATCACTCCATGAGAGTTTTTATAAAGCAATAATAAGGATTTATCTATCCAATGCCATTCAGTGAAAATATGAAAAGAAATCACCTTGACCGTGTGTGAAAAGTCTCCATTTCATCATTATCAAATCAACGTTTTCACCAACAGTTTCACATCTTGATTGGAGAGCCAGTCCTGTGGAAGACGGAGGTGTCCAGCTCATTTCAGGGCCAGGTAAGAAACAAAAAGAGACATGCAGTTACATGTAGTGTCCCACTACTTATTTAACTTAAATTCAATCAATTCATTACATGTGCCATCATAATAAAATTTACCGACAAAATGATTATGCAGATTTTTTTAAGTGTTGGATTAGGAAAAATGTTGCTCAAAGAGGAAACAATTTTGATTTTGCATTCACTGAAAAGAAAGACTGGTAAGAATAGTCAGACACATGGACTTGAATCATATGGCTTAGACTCAAGTCAGGCCCAAGTCACAAATTTGATGATTTAGACTCGACAAAATCAGCTTGACTTCACTTGGACGAGAGCCTTTTGAATTGAAAATACTTGATACCATCCCCCAAGCCCAAAGATTAGACAGCATGTTAGGTTTGACAATAGACTGATGGATGCAACATCAAAATAGTCTATTTGATATTTTACAGCGTTTACTTTATTACATTAAACATACAAAATCCATTATATTTTGGCACTGGTTAATAATGTTATATGCAATGAGAGTGCAATGCCAGAACAATTTTTTTGACAAACTTGTTTTAACAAATGATACCATTTTCATGAGGCATTCATGATTTTTGTAAATTTAATACATTATTACTCTGTTGTTAAAATGGCATTACATTTGGTGAAGAGTTTATGACTTGCATAGGACTTGAAACTCAAATCTTAGGACTAAGCAGGATTTACCCTACCTACGCTGTAGACTCTGCATCAACGTAGTACCCTACTCTGTAGCCTGACGTGCACCTCCCCAGAACGCAGACCTCCTGTCTGTTTTTGTGAGCTGAAACCATTTCCCTCAGTGGGAACTGAACTTATATTTACTTTAATTTCACAGATAAGAAACAATAACCTCCACTAAACTAGCATTTTAAGTCTTGCGTGTGATTTATCCTTCAGAAATGTATACTTCTGAGTTATCCTGGCTTCATATGAGCAGAGGAAATCTATGCTTGTGGCTAGACTAATTTATACAATGTAAAATACCATAGGCTTGTGCTAATAAAGTTGTATTTGTTCAGAAAACGTATTTAGCATAAGACAGTTGTTTTGTTGGTGAACATTGTGAGTTGTAATGGAGCCAAATTTTGTAACGTTACCTTTGTTAAATGTTGCTGTTGTCACTGGCTTCATATGAGTAGAGGAAAAGTCCACTAGCCACTAGGCTAATTTATACAATGTAAAATGCCATAGGCTTGTGCTAATAACGTTAGCATGTTGTATTTGTGGGAAAAATGTGTCCAGATAAAGACAAGTGTTTGTCTGTGAATGCTGTGAATTATAGTGAAGCTGATTTGTGTTCTTGTGTTTGAAATTGTCTCTATTAAGCCATGTTTAATGTGTGTTTAATTTGTGTTTTGAATCAACTAAACTTTACAGCACTTCACCGAAACCCTGCTGCCGTCTAATGTTTTGGCGGTGTATCTGCAGAGTAACACAGACACACCACCGCACAAGTATAAATGCTCACAACAGCGTAGGCCACGTGTGTAGGTCACGGCATAAGTCTTAACCTTGGCTTAGACTTGACTTGGGATTTGAGTGCAAAGACTTTAGACTTACTTGTGACTTGCAAAACAATAGCTCGGTCCCACCTCTAATAATAGTTCAGAATAACTGCGTTCAAATTGCACTACTTTTAGTAGGTACTGCAGCTGCTCTTAAAGAGTTCATACTGTTGCATGCAGTATGCACACAACTGTGACATGCTTCTGTCACACATATTACACCCTGAACTTTGACCCTCTTACTTTTATATCTGTTACCTTAGAAACAAACAAACATCACTTACCAAGTTCGCCAGGGACAGAGATCAACCCGGAGAGCTCTGCTGTTGTTACTTTAGTAGTAGTAGTGTGGGTATTGGAATGCACTGATGGTATTCTCAGTCAAGACATCATTATACTGCTGTGTTTGTACTGCCTCCCCCTGTAGAGAGCGCTGTTTCACAAGCATAGACCCACACCACAACCACACAGTATATACTGTAGTAGTCCAGTGATAAAACTCAGTATCTGTATCACTGAGAGATGAGTGAATTGTTGCACTGAGGGTGCTCAAATTCATAAACGGTGTGTTTATTAGAGCTACCATCATGTCACAGTAACTAGTAACTCTCATGAATGATTTTGTTCTGACTGCGTGTGTTCTGACTGTCTATGTGCTGTGTGTGACTGCTCAGGTCTCCAGTGCGACCCTTGTGCCAGAATGTCTTGGCTTATTCTTGTCTGGGAGCAGAACATCCACTCACCCACACTCCAGTGTCTTAGTTCCTATGGCAACGGTGCCAAGGACATGTGGTACCCTTGGCAGCTTCCTTGGACGAAGTGCTACAGTTGGCTTAGGCCACACCAAGTGAGAAACACAAAGACAGGCGCATAGTTATTATTTGATTTTTTTCCAAATGTGATCTCTGCTACACTGATTTTGTGCGTGCCACCTCTAATGTCAGTAATATCGCCACCACTATCATTCTGCTGTCCTCTGCTCTGCTGCAGGTCTGACGCTGCATCCAAACTGAAGCTCCTGCATTCAGGGGGCTGGTTGGGCAGACAGACGGTGGCCCTGAAGGCTCACTTCACCTTGTTCAGCCCTGCACCCAACTTGTTCACCAGTGTGACCATGCTCACTGAGAAGAGTCCCACTGGTGCGCTGCTGCCCTCTGCCAAAGTCCAGTCAGTTAGGGTGTATCGCACTCCTGCTGTGTGGGACTATGTTGTTATGGTGTGCCAGGTAAAATGTCTTTTATCTGTAAAAACATCTAGTCGTCAACGCCATTATAAAGCCACTCAACAGCTGAAGAAAACAGACAAACACCTTGCACAAAGAAGTAATGAGGATTGAGTTGATTTTCAAAAGGTATAACAAACACAGCTTGACTGAATAGTGCCGGGTACACATTACATGAGTCCGTCCTGACAGCACCGATTTCAAATTGCAAATATTTAACAATTTAATGATACAATATCCTGCTGTAGGGGGGCCCCGAGAATTGCCGGCAGTCCCGTGGGTCTCAGAGGTTTTTTTTTTTTTTTGTTTTGTCATTTAAATTTTTATTGATCTTATTTTAAACTGATGACTACTAAAACAACAGTGAAAAACAAAAACATAACAACAGTCTATTACAGCAACAAAAATATTTCATAGATGCACCCGTAGTACATACAGGTGCATCTATGAAATATCTTTCTAAATTTGAAGGGTTTGGATTTTATAGATTATTATGCAGTGGTTCCTGTTGTCCGACCTACTTGAGATCAAACCAGGCTGTATGTGGCTTATGAACTAAAATGAGTTTGACACCCCTGCTGTGCATTTTGTACACACGAAGCTGTAAGGTTCCTGAGGTTTTTGTCTTCCATCCCTCTAGCTCCTCTTCCTTCTCTTGTCTCTGCATCAACTCTGTGATCAAGTGTACACTGTAGCGCAGCAAGGGCTGATGGGATACTGGAGGACACCCTGCAACTGGCTGGAAGTGAGTCTCCCACTTGTGTATAAACACACACACAGAAAAAGCTGTTCAGACCAACATAATACGTCAAAAGAAATTCACAAGACTTACATGCACACAGCTTGAACATAGACACATGGAAACATGCACAGGCACACACACTCAGCTACACACCAACGCAAACAAGATCACAATGACCTAGCTGAAAGGGTAAGGTAACCGGTAGCTGTTAAACTAACATACCTGTGTACTTGGTAGGTCAAAGCACACAGCAGTATGAGGTGTACTTGATTATGCTTTAACTGTTGTATAAATATACCTCACTGTCTTTCTCTCTCTGCTCTGCAGGTCAGTTTGCTGACAGTAACGTTACTGTACTACGTTTATTACATCTATCACTCCGTTATTATCTTGGAGGTTGTGGAGCTGCTGCAGAGACACAACTACAGAGGACATGTTGATGTCAGCTTCCTGGCTACCTGGGAACAAGTGAGACAGGAAAACAAATATTTGATGTTGAGAAAACAGTTCATTATCTGTCCTGCTCTAATTTATTAAAGTAACTCCCTGTAGAGAGAGCCTTATCTTTAAAGACTATTATGAGTAGTTTATTGGCATAACTTTATTAAACTTTGTAGTTATAATAATCTTTAAGAAGATACACTGTGTACAAGGTTTGTTGATTTTGTTAAACGCTCTTATTAAAGGAAAGCCCAACTTTGAGTTTAGAGATCATGATGCTGGTTTTTAATGCTGACATCAGTGACTGCCAGGGATTAAAATGTCTTTTGTGCCTGCAGTATATTCGCACTCTGCGTGGCGTTATGCTCTTCCTTCTCACCGTGAAGTGTGTGACTGTGGTGAGGGTGAACAGGACCATGGCCACCTCTGCTACACTCCTCACCCGCTCACTCTTGAGCCTCTTCTGGCCAACGGTAAACACGTCATTCAGTAAAACCATCAGTTATGAAAGGCTTTCATTCCAAGCATTACCTTTTGAAAAGTTATTTTTGAAAAAGCAAGTGATAGAATTTAAAATGTGTATGATTACAGAAAAAAACCCACTTCGTTTTCATTTATTTTTCAAAACTGCTTTTCCTGTCGGGGGTCGCAGGGGGGACTGGAGCCTATCCGAGCTGACATTGGGCGAGAGGCGGGGTACACCCTGGACAGGTCAGCAGACTATCACAGGGCTGACACATAGAGGCAGACAACCATTCACACTTACATTCACACCTACGGACAATTTAGAGTCACCAATTAACCTGCATGTCTTTGGACTGTGGGAGGAAGCCGGAGTACCTGGAGAAAACCCACACTGACACAGGGAGAACATGCAAACAGAAGGGCTCCACACCCTGGGTTTAAACCAGGAACCCTCTTGCTGTGAGGCGACAATGCTAACCACTGCACCAACGTGCCACCCAGTGTTCAATCATTGAAGTATTCCACACTTTTTTGCTTTCATGTGTGCTAATTGGTGACTCTAAATTGGCCATAGGTGTGAATGTGAGTGTGAATGGTTGTCTGTCTCTATGTGTCAGCCTTGTGATAGTCTGCTGACCTGTCCAGGGTGTATCCTGGTTCGAGCCCTTCTGTGCGGAGTTTGCATGTTCTCCCTGTGTCAGTGTGGGTTTTCTCCGGGTGCTCCAACTTCTTCCCACAGTCCAAAGACATGGAGGTTAATTGGTGACTCTAAATTGTCCGTAGGTGTGAATGTGAGTGTGAATGGATGTCTGTCTCTATGTGTCAGCCCTGTGGTAGTCTGGTGACCTGTCCAGGGTGTATCCCGCCTCTCGCCCAATGTCAGCTGGGATAGGCTCCAGGCCCCCCTGTGACCTCTAACAGGATAAGCGGTTACGGAAAATGAATGAATGTGCAAGAATTGATATTGAAGTTCTCATGATATTATCTGCAATCACTGCACAACAGCACAATTAAGAAGTGTTAACACATTTTAGCCTCTTTCTCTTTTTAATTGTTGTCCATGAGCTTCTGTAAAGCCTGCAAGTTCTCAAAATCCTGGGTTGCTACCTTGAATAAAGGTGTGGGTACCCTGGATATTATTTTCTCAAATTCTAAAGCAACTTTCAAAGAACAGTTTTTAAGGACATCTCTCCTTGAGATATTGGGAAGTTCATAAAACGGATGGATAAAAATGGACTCTTTCTTCTGTCTTAGATCTCAGGTCTTATCCTGATGGTGGCGCTGTCCTGCATGGGGAATCTCCTGTTTGTACAAAGCTCCTGGACCTTCAGCTCACTTTCCCACTCCCTTCAGACCCTGCTCCGTCACTGCCGGGGTCGCAGAGCTGCAAGGGGCCTCTTCCCCTCTTGGCATGATTTCCTGTACAGTGGTGTTCTCTGTCTGTCCTCTGTGGTATGGACAGCAATGGTACATATATATACTACATTGTATTCCTTTTTTTTTCCGTGTAAAAATTGTCTGCATGTTGGCTGATTTGTGCATATATGAAGTCTTTGCAGAGTTGTTGTCAGTGGAAGAAACAATCTGTTAGAGTCTATGTCACTGTTGTGTTTGAATGGACATCTGTTTTTCTTTTAGGTCATAGGCATGATGTCCTCATTCATCAGAAGTGCCAAAAGATCAAAAAGCAGGGGCAACGTCTTCACCATAGCAGAATTAGCCGGCTACATTAGACGGAGAGTCTCAGAGTTCACTGGGCAGCGTAGACCAGCATGGATTGAAAATCAAATGGAAAAGAGGGTGAGGAAAAACTGCTCAGTCAATAAAAACAGAAGAGTTTAAATACACAACTGAGATTCTTCATTGAAAAAAATACATTTTACAGACATTTAAAGTTGCTGTGTATCGTTATATATATATATCATTGTCAAATTACCCCGTTATGAACATCTGAGACTATGGTCAGGATTATTGATAGACTATCTCATGCTACCGGGGACATTTCTTAAAATTAAGATCACATTGTCCCATAAATCCTGTTTCCAACCTCCTCAAATGTTACACGTTTACTTAACTGACCACGGTGAGAAATGATGCTATAAAAGTGGAGTAAATTACGTCTTTTCAAGTCAATGATGCCGCAGCTTCAGGGCACTTGGATTACGATGGATGAGCCGTTCTGATATTTTTGAAATGCATTAGCAGAGATTTATTACATTTTCAAAATGTGGGTTCCATGCACTTCAAGTGTAGCTGTTATTTCCGGCTAGCTATTATCCTCCGATACCCTGAACGGGTTTTGTGAATTAAAAAACTACACTGGACTTCTTGTCGGCATGAGGGTCAGTAAGTACTGTCTGTATTTTCATTCGAAAGTGGCCATTTTCTTTAACTTAGACCTGTTGTCCTCGTTCGTTGACACTTTTTTGTGCCATCTAGTGGTAGTAATTGCACAGTACACTAATCTATGTAAAAACAAAAGTGAACAAGGTCCAAAACCTGATCACTTTTTATGGTTGAAACTTGTTTATTTATGAATTATAATGTTTGTAGTTTGATATGGCAACAAAGCTGACCAATCCTAGCAACGGTAACAAGCTAAGACGCAGTTAATTAGGAAGTACTCGTTTGAAGACACTGGAACTTTATTATCGTCTATTTTGAGGACATTGCAACTTAATTATCATTGACAATGTTTAGTTTTTTATACTTATCAGGTCCTACCGATCCCAAATAGCTAGGAGAAATTAAAAATGCATACCAAACCATTCTGGTCTCAGATATATGTAAAGTTTACTATGACTTTGTCTTCTGGTTTTTCAGACTTACTACTTTGAGGAGTTTGAAAGCTTAGTAGATGAACTACTGTTCAGACTCAACGGCCTCTCAGACAGTCTGCACCACACTCTCCCTCCCAAAGCCCATCACTACAGAGAGGAGGAAAGTCCTGCCATCTCAACCATACACAAGCCCTGCGACATGGACAAACAGGTGAGCTAGACTGAAAAAGACACACACCCATATACATTCTTGCTCTCACATACACTGCATTATTTTAGAAAGGCGTATGTGATTCTGTTACAGGACTTTGTGAGAATACAAATGACAGGAGAGATGATGGTGAATGATCACACTGATGTCAGCGGCCATGGAGAAACCCTCTCTGCATCTCACCTGCTCAGGTAATAACATTTGTCCAGCACCCACTTAGGCTATATATCATGCTGAAGTGCAATTTTAAATATAATGAATTACAAAATGGTAAAAATCGCTTGTTTTTCTGCATGACACTGCATCACCAGGTCCAGGCGTGAACTGGAGATCCTGCAGTTCCTGCAGCAGAGAGGTCAAGATGGGAACCATTCTCCCTCAGACAGTGTGGCATCAGATAATTCACAACAACGTGGAATAAGAGCCAGAGAAAATTCAAGAGACCGAGAGCTCCAAACTTATTTAAAGGCGCAAAACTACCCATCCCTCCCAGAGTCAGCATCACTCATTAAGGTTTGGACAGAAGATGTTCTGGAGAAACAAGCTGACCAGTCGACTAAAACACGTGACAATTGTTGGTTAAGTAAAACTCAGGCCACACCTACAGAGGTGGTGGTGGAAGTTCTGGTCCATGAAGAGCCTGGGAGTGTGGAGCCAGATCAACAGTAGGGTCCCTATGGAGATGACAGTTGTGGCTTTGATACTGTAAACATCTCACAAAACAAGATCTGCCATTTCTGTTCTATTCAGCTGAATCTCCTTCCAGTTAGAGTTCTTTCAGTGGTCATTGTTCAGGAGGTTTTACACTGTGAGCCAAATTATCTTCAGATGTTTTGTCCTCTCCAAAATATGCAGACCAGGTGATTAAAACCAGTAAAAAACACATTGAATAAAGCAGTTTAACGTTACAAATCAGTGTTTCTCCTACGCTGATCAGCTCGTCAGAGACCGGTCACCAGCCCAGCACCTGCTAATCTCTGAGAATTCAGACATTCCGGAGGTTTTTACTGGATGACCAATTACATGCAAAGGTCTCTTTCTTTTTAAATTAGACCGACCAGGGGTCTCATTTGTAAACATTGTGTACACAAATGAGGCCTGAAAGAGACCTAACACCACTTCCGACGCAAACGTTGTGATCTATAAAAACAGACTTGATGGGAGAAACTTTGACCCACGTTTACGAACATTTTGGGAGCGGAAAATTGGCGACGCAGATGGTGAGGTGGAAGCCTGATTGTAGACATCGTCTAATATTTTTTGGAGCACACCATTTATGGCTTTTGTTTGTACGTACATTTTTACTATGGATCCTACGCATTATTTTATAAATGAGACCCCAGGTAATTAAAACCGGTAGAACACAGAATAAAGCAGTTTCATGATAAAAATCTGTATAAGTTGCTGCTGACTACCAGTGTTGTGTGTAACGCGTTACAGTAACGTAACTACTTTTATTGGGTAAAAAGTCGTGTAACGTGTTACTACTGAAAATATGGTAACGGAACGTAGTTACTTTGTCAGTTGGGCACAACGTTACTTTTACCGGAAACAGATTTGACGGTGACACTGCCTGTCTGCCTCAGCTGCGCACTAGGCAGGAACTGTGACAGTTGACAAGTCAAAAGTACAGACAGGAGCGCCAAAATCAAGAATCGTATGAGGAATATCGAAGATACACACGCCTCCTCGGATTATTTTAACGGTTTGTCAACCGAAGACAGGTTAGCTTATTGTAATAAGCTAACAATTAGCAACGGAGTGAGGTTTCCTGACCCGTACTTAATGTCGGGTCAGTGGGTCACCGACCCAACGAAATGACCAAAGCTACAGTGGCCAGAAATTTTTTTAAATCTTGTGGAGAAACCCAGCGTTTATACACATGAAAAACTCAAGGCATATAAATCCCTTGATGTGTATAATTTTGTACTTTGCGGTCATGTCCAAGATATTGAATACCGGGATTTATCTGATGGTTTTTGTGCTCTACGGACCGAAGTACTGCCGAGCCAAAACAGAACAATCATAACCTGCCTACCTTCCTGGCACTGTGTGAGCGGCAGCCTGTTGCAGCAGCTCCTATTTTGTGTATTTTAAATTGCTGCTGCGACACTGAAATTTCCCCCTGAGGGGTTAATAAAGTACCTATCATACCATACCAGAAGAGAAAATGAATTAATTTATTCGTGCAGGTCTGTAGCTTAATACTGCAAAGTATGAGTCTGTTACACAAACACAGTCTCACAGTTACACACGTAATAACAGAACAGATAATGATTTATTCATGAATATGACACTATTTGTTCAAAGATAGTGTCTGTGAATATTAATATTTTCCTCATTCAGTGATGTAGCAGGTCTGGCAAATAGGCTATTAGTAGTAGTAATCTGTCATGTAACAAATTCATGTAGCCTAGTTAACACAAATTAACTCTCACTCTTTAATCTTTATTTTATCACCAAAGTGGTAAATACCAGTGGGAAACTTAGATTTTTTCACATTTAGGAAATGAGATGGGGTTCTACCCAAAGTCAAGCACCATAAAAGTAACGTAAAAGTAACGAGTAACGTAAAAAGTTACTTTTCACAGAGGGTAACTAAGTAAAGGATTACTTTTTTTAAGAAGTAACGAGTAACGAGCAAACACTACTTTTTAAAAGTAACTTCCCCAACACTGCTGACTACGGTGGCTGATGCAAGAACTCAAAAAGAACCCATAAATCCCTATAGCGCAAAAATGTGAATGGCCCCATTTAGTATGTCTGTTCTGGGCTATTGTAGTAACATGGCAGCTCATCATGACGATCTACATGGACCAGGACCTGCTCCCTATTAAGAAATAAACTGTTCATTGTAAGGTAACAGAAACACATTGATTCTTATTTTCAGCTGATTACACACTAAGGAAAATGTACTTATTACATTATATTCCATTTCTGCCAATGTATCCCTGTAACAGGTGGGTTCTCGTGATGTCTGCATTGTGTAGATATAAAGAGGCCCAGACCATGGATATCTGTGGAGGCGATCTCCGTTTATACCTCTCCTGACAACAGGTGGCAAAAGTAAAAATCCTCCGTCACACACAACAAACTGCAGCCCCTCTCCAGCAGAGCACAACAGCAAAAGGGGAGAAGTAAGGCGGGAGACACTCCTTTATAGGTGGGGTATCCTCAAAGGTGAACATAGGGGTACAGAAACTGAGTATCAAACGTCGTACATATTGAGTACGGAGGCCTAAGCATGTCAGGTAATAACGACTGAGACAAATTTTGTGGAATTATAAACACTCAGCAATAAAAATGTACATTTGACTTGTCACACATATTACTGCTGTATAATTGACCCTGTTACACCACCCTAAATCCTACACACTGGACCTTTAATGTATAAATAAAAATGTTTTTTGATTGCAAGGTGATGGTTAGCAATCCCTTTTCACCTTTTGATAGAGAATCAAATCTGCACTGATCAGCCAAAACATTAAAACCAGTGGTGGGTGAAGAGAGTAACATTGATCATTTTGTTACAATGCAATGTTCTGCTGGGAGACCTTTGGTCATGGCATTCATGTGGATGCCACTGTGGGCTTCCAGAGGTCAGGTGTCCATTCCTTGTCATGTTAGAGACAAGTCTGATCCAAGGAGGCCCCACCATGGATTAGGGGTACCTCAGAGGTACCAGCATGTCCCATGGATGCTTGATCAGATTTGGATCTGGGGAATTTGGAGGCCAGGTTGATGCCTTTAGCTGTTTGTCATGTTCCTCGTGCCATTCCTGAGCACTTCCTGGTGCATTTTCCTGCCGTCGGGGAGTGCTGCTGCCATGAGGAGAGATACTTGATCTGCAGAGGTGGAGCACATCAAGTGGATTTTCTGGACCAAAAGTTCCCTAGAAGAACATTGCATTGGCACAAGATGATCAATGTTACTCACTTCACCCGACAGTGCTTCTTAATTTTTGGCTGATCAGTGTATTAGTCAACTATCAAAACAAAATGTATTTTTATTTATGCATAGAAGTTGCATTTATGTTTTGAAGAGCAGTATTACTTTGCCAAAAATACAACTTATCGGTGTCAACTTCTGTGTCTCTGGTAAGAATAAAATATGCTTCTTTTTTTTTAAATCCTGATTTGCTATCCAAATATTTAACTCAGTGACCCCGAGGCTTCAGAGACTGGGTTGTGTTGAATAAATATGACGTGTGGACTTTCAACGTTGTGCTCAAATCATCGTGTTATCGATCACCCACTGAGTTTTAATACAACTTCAGTCTCTCTAACCCACTGCATCATGTACAAGTGTAGTTATCAAAGAAGGAAACAATAAATGAAAGTATCCAATAGCAACATCCAACGTATAATTGAGTGGCGACTTGTGATTGGAGGAGAGCTGCTGATGAGGACCAATCACAGCGTGGCAAGTCAGACAAGTTCCAGACGGAGGAGGCGGTGTGTGTGATTTCGGAAGTGATTAGTTTGTATGAAACCACGAGCCAAAGGCGTCCACAGCCACACGTCAGTATTGATCCGGACGGCGGGTCTGTGCAGCCGACAGTGTTTTGATGACATTCATCAGCGCCATTAGCTCAAGTTAATCAGCCGGCTGGTTGTGAGGAAGCACGTCGCTAACAACGGGCCGCATCATCTGGGGACAATGAAGAAGCTCGCGCTGCTGCTGATTGTGTTGCTCGGCGTTGCACATTTTGCAACTCTCAGCAGATGTGAAGATGGTGAGTGTGAGCCTCTCTACAGCCTAATGTGACTACTGTGACAGAGTGAGTGGTGTAAGTCAGGTAACGTGGCAGCTGGTGTGTGTTTCCTGCGAGTTATTGTCATGCAAACTAGCTAGCTTAAGTTTCTGTAGGTAACTACTTAGCTAGTTCTGTTAGCATGCTAGCTAACAGGACAGGTGAGCTAATGTCAACAGGACTGACACACACGTACACAAGTAGGGGCTTAGCCAAAATCTTAATGAAGTCTGTGGCTGTTGTAACGTTTGCTTTGTCAGCAAATTTGTGACAGTACAGGTGTATTCCTTTGCTATGACGTGATACACGTCATGTTCACTACTTACCTTGGTTCTTAAACCAAGAGACCCATTAATGTCTTTAAAGATCCCATGCCCCCCTAGGGCATGGGATCTTTAGGGGGAGATGGCAGTTCAACAGTATATGCCACATGGAAGTTGTATGCATCATCTGAAAGCTGGGAACCTTAAGATTAATATGAGTTGCAGCACAGCTCGGTGTGTCAAGTTCTTCCAGTCAAAAATTTGTAATAAACAGAGTTTTGGTTAGGCTTCTATTCAGATTTGACAGATTTGAGTGTTTTGATGGAAGTATATGATGGCCGTTCACATGTTCAGTTCTGGCTCATAAGTTGTTTGACTTTATTAACTTGAATTTTTTGATAGAAATGGACAAAAATCTCTCCAAAAGACCACCTTAACTCTTTGAAACCTGAGCAAATTGGCTTAATTTCTTTTAAAGAAATGGAAAGAAGAAATGACCTAAAACTTTGCAAGAAATCAGTAAAAAAAAAAGAGAGAATTAAAAACAAGAATATAAGATAGAAAGTAAAAAAAAAACAAAACCAAAAAAAACAAGGAAATTACCTGGAAGAAGAGCTTAAAAATAACAATTTTGTAATTTAATTTAAAAAAAAATTAATAATAATTTTAAATATAGTTTTTCCCTAGCTTTTTTCTTTTTCAGATACTTTTCTTTAATCAGGATTATATTTGTGTTTAAGGGCTTAGAATATTTTGATGGAAGTTTATGACGCAATTTCCATGCTCAATTATGTCTCATAAGTTGTTTGAGCAGCCTTTGACTTGTCACCATTTTTTTACACAGATTTTATGCTTAATTTAAGCATTTTCTTAGCACATGAGAATTGATTGAAATGGCCAAAAATCTCTCCAAAATACCACCTGAGCAAATTGGCTTGACTTCTTTTAAAACATGGAAAGAAGACAATTAGCAATGTAAGAAGAAATGACTCAAAAAAAGTAAATGGACCTGCATTTGTATAGCGCCTTTCTAATCATCTAGTGACCACTCAAAGCGCTTTATACACTGTAAGTCACATTCAGCCATTCACATACACATTCATACACTGGTGGCTGAGGCTACCATACAAGGTGCCACCTGCTACTCAGATTTAACACACTCACACACCGATGGAACAGCCATCGGGAGCAATTTGGGGTTCAGTATCTTGCTCAAGGATACTTCGACATGCAGCCTGGAGGAGCCCGGGATCGAGCCGCCGATCTTTTGATTGGTGGACAACCAGCTCTACCTCTGAGCCACAGCAGGAAGTCAGAGAGAAAATCAGTAAAAAAGAAACAAACAAGGAAATGACCTAGAAAGAGTGCTTAAAAAGTATAATAATTTATTAATAATTATAAAAATTCTAGATAGTCTTCCCCAGCTTTTTATCTTCCCCCACCTTTTTTTTTTTTTTTTTTTTTTTTTTTTTTTTTTTTTTTTTTTTTTTTTTTTTTTTTTTTTTTTTAAAACAACATTTTTCTAAATTTTAAAATTGTTTTGCAATTTGTGGGACATTTCTCACCCGGTTGCTCATTGCCTTTTTCCCAGTTTTTTGAAAAAAATTGCACCAATTTGCTCAGGGTTCAAAGGTTTATATACTTGCAAAAGGCGCCTGAAAGCAGCACAATGAAAGTGTTGTCGCTGCAGATTTCAAAGGGTTATGACACCAAGACTTTGGGGAACACTGTAGAAAAATCCATTATGTGATATGGTATCAAAAACTTCTGACATTAGGAGATTTCTGTAAATGTCAGAAATCTCTGACATTTCAATTTTCATTTTCTTGTTTGTTTCCAGATGTTGCAGAGGAGAAGGAGGAAGTTGAGGAGGAGGACAGTGACGATGAGGAGGATGAGGATGATGAGGATGATGACACAGAGGTGAAAGAAGAGAACGGAGTGCTGATTCTCACCAACGGCAACTACGACACCTTCATGGAGGGCAAAGACACAGTTCTGGTTGAGTTTTACGCCCCATGGTTAGTCTGTTATTCCTCTGTGCTTTTTATTCGCTGTTCACAAAGATGATTTGACAGCCTTTCCAAATCCATGAAATTTAAAAAAATATTTCTTTGTTTATGATTTTAGGTGCGGCCACTGCAAACAGTTTGCCCCAGAGTATGAAAAAATCGCTCAGACTCTTAAGGAGAATGACCCTCCTGTACCCGTGGCCAAAGTAGATGCAACAGTGGCTGACGAGTTGGCGAGCAGATTTGAAGTGTCGGGCTACCCCACCATCAAGATTATGAAAAACGGGGAAGCTGTGGACTATGACGGAGAAAGGACAGAAAAGGGTAGGGACATCTCACTCATTTAAGCATCGTGACAGTCTTTCAATCCAAACCTCACCTCTCTTTGAAAAGAATCAGCGGTTATATGTTGAGTGTGTGTTTGTTGCAGCTATTGTGGCGAGGGTGAAAGAGGTGGCTCAGCCAGACTGGAAGCCTCCTCCTGAGGCGACGCTGGTGCTGACCAAGGACAACTTTGATGAGACGGTTAACAACGCAGACATCATCCTGGTGGAGTTCTACGCTCCATGGTCAGTCAGCAGACTGTCAGATACAAAAAACTCATGGTCTAATTTTCACTGTAAATGTTATCCATTGAAGTCATAGCTGAGCTTTTTATTAAAGCTCAACAAACACAGTGAAAATGTACTTAACACTATCGTTACCCTTTTTTAAAACACATCAAACAACATGCCAGTTGAGCCACTGTTAAGACTCATAAAATATTCCTCATTATTTGCCTGTTGTAACTCCCCTTCAGGTGCGGACACTGTAAGCGTTTGGCGCCAGAGTACGAGAAGGCAGCCAAGCAGCTGAGCCAGCGGTCTCCTCCCATTCCTCTGGCCAAGGTGGACGCCACTGTCGAGAATGAGGTCGCCTCACGATTTGGAGTTACCGGCTATCCCACCATCAAGATCTTCAGGAAAGGCAAAGTGTTCGACTACAACGGACCCAGAGAGCAGCACGGTAGGTCACTCACTGTGTTATGTCACGCTAATACAAGTCGCTGTTTTCCACGTAGGGCTGCCCCCTAATAGTCGACTAAATGCAAGTTGACCAGAGAGGTCATTTGTCGGCAAGATTTCATTGGTCGTGTTTTGCGTTTTCCAGGCAGTTAAATACGCACGTTTTGTATTTCTCTGTAATGTAGCACAGTGTTAACAATGTTACTGATACTATTCTTTCTCACACCTTCAACTCAAACCATTGTGTTGCCCTGCCCAAAATATATCATTTAATAATTAAATTAACTTTGTAAACATGCGGGCAACTAGTCGACTTAATGGCCCTAAATGACGACTATTGGTCGACTAGAATAATTCTTCGTCGGAGGCAGCCCTATTTCCATGTATGCATTTTATTTCTGTTGATCCGTCACAGTTGATGCACCTCTTTCTTTTTCCCTCTAGGCATCGTGGACTACATGAGTGAGCAGGCAGGGCCTCCCTCCAAGCAGGTTCAGGCAGTAAAACAGGTGCAGGAGCTTCTCAAGGATGGTGACGATGCTGTCATAGTGGGCGTGTTCTCCAGTGAAGAGGACGCAGCCTATGAGATCTACATCGAGGCCTGTAAGTACCATCAGCTTCGAGGTATATGTCGGCAAGCGGCCAAGTAATTATTTGTTTCATGCCTGTGTGAGCTACATGAAAGAAACTTTGCTCAAGAGGGGTAATCCATCGTAGCGTCAAAATTGACATGTGGCTAGTATACTCATTGCCGTCTGTCTGTCTGTTTGGAAGGTAATGCACTGAGGGAAGACTTCTCCTTCCGTCACTCCTTCAGCGCTGAGGTGGCCAAACTTCTCAAAGCTTCGCCCGGTCAGATTGTCATCGTTCAGCCTGAGAAGTTCCACTCCAAGTACGAGCCAGCTTCACACACACTTGCAGTGAAGGTACTGTCTGTTTGACTGTTTTCAGTGTGTTTTTTGTTTTTGTTCAGTATTTGAATACGTTTCATGAGGTATGAAACCCAGGAACAAAAATGACTGTGCTTTCTTTCAGTTGTATCGGGGTAACACAGAGTACAGTAGTATTAAGGGATGTCACATGAAAAGCTCTTTACGAAAGAGTCTCTCTTTTCTGATGCATTTGGAGAGTTTCACATTTGAACTCGAACTGAATTCGAACACTTATTTATTTATTTATCTCTTAGGACTCAACAGCAGTGTCAGAAGTGCAGGAGTTCTTCAAAAAGCACATGATCCCTCTGGTGGGCCACAGGAAACCAAGCAATGATGCCAAGCGCTACACCAAAAGACCCCTGGTGGTGGTGTACTATGGAGTCGACTTCAGCTTTGACTACAGGAAAGGTGAGTTTGTCATGCTTAGGTTAATAGGTTTGGGTTTTTAGGAGTATGAAGTTGACTCTGCACTGTCCTTAATGAGTTTAGTTCTGCACTGCGTATCTTGGGGGGGATATGTAATGCAGCTGTTTACAGGATGTCCACAGGGTCTTTAAAAAAGTTATTAAAACAATTTATTAACAGTCAAGTCCCTTCAAAAGTATTTAAAAGTCTATTTATGACATACTTTATTATGACTTTTTATTGCATACTATACCAGTGGTTCTCGGACTTTACAATTTTTTTATTTTTTTATTTTTTTTTTTTAGAAAAGTATCTACTGACCAGCATAAAACATTTCTGGCAAAAACACAGCGAACATTGACATGATTCAGTTCATTGCACAAGTTGTTTACTGCAGTCTACAATTGCATTGAAGATAGGAGTATTGAATGTAAAATGTATCGTCTTACATCTATATATTTCATTAAACTTAATATAGTATAATTGTGTTAGGGTTTTGTTTTTTGTTTTTTTCAATTAACATTTTTTTTAAAGTCACCTACACGCTGCAGTACTCTGAAGTACCCCCAGAGGGACCCATAGTTCTATGTGGGAAACAGTGTACTATACTATTATTTTTTTTAATTACATTTATTTATGACACACAACACTATAAATATCTATTTTTTTTGACATACTGTACTATGACTACTTATACTTATACTACTTATACTGTGTTTTTTGTGACACACTACACACCGACATTTTTCCTTCTTTTTTTATGATATACTAAGACTTTTTTTTATATAACATACTATTCTAAGATATATTTTTTTATGACATACTATGCTTGGACCTTTTTTTTCCACATTTTTTGTGCCATACGTTACTGAGTGATTTTTTTTTTTTTTTTTAATTTCTACAATTTCTGTGAAATACTATACTAAGACATTTCTTCCACATTTTTTTATGACATACTATACTAACACATTTTTCAATTTTTGTGATATACTGTACTGAGACATTTTGTTCTCCATTTTGGTATGACATGCTATACTAAGAAATTTCTTTCTACATTTTGGTATGACATAATATACTAAGATACATTGTATACTAAGACATATTTTAATACTTTTTTAATAACATACTTTACTTCAACATTTTTTTCTACATTTTGTCCTGAAATACTATATACACTAAGACATTTTTTTTATGACATAGTATACTACCACATTTTTTTCTGCTTTTTATGACATACTATACCAAGACATTTATTCCTGCATTTTTTTCAAAACCTACTATATTGAGACATTTTTTTCTACTTTTTTACTAAGGCAATGTTTTCTACTTTTTTGTAACATACTTTTTTTCATGATTTTAGACGACATACTATACTATGACTTTTTTTTTTCATGATCTAAGACGACATACTATGCTATGACTTTTTCCATGATTTTGGACGACATACTATACTGTGACTTTTTTCATGATTTTGGACGACATACTATACTGTGACTTTTTTTTCATGATCTAAGACGACATACTATACTATGACGTTTTTTCATGATTTTGGACTTCATACTATACTATGACTTTTTTCATGATTTTGGACAACATGCTATACTATGATGTTTTTTCATGATTTTGGACTTCATACTATACTATGACTTTTTTCATGATCTTAGACTACATGCTATACTATGACGTTTTTTCATGATTTTGGACTTCGTACTATACTATGACTTTTTTTCATGATTTTAGACGACATACTACAATATGACTTTTTTTCATGATTTTAGACGACATGCTATACTATGACTTTTTTCATGATTTTGGACAACATGCTATACTATGATGTTTTTTCATGATTTTGGACTTCATACTATACTATGACTTTTTTCATGATCTTAGACTACATGCTATACTATGACGTTTTTTCATGATTTCGGACTTCATACTATACTATGACTTTTTTTCATGATTTTTGGACAACATGCTATACTATGACTTTTTTTCATGATTTTTGGACAACATACTATACTGTGACTTTTTTTCATGATTTTGGACGACATACTATACTATGACTTTTTTTCATGATTTTTGGACGACATACTATACTGTGACTTTTTTTCATGATTTTGGACTACATGCTATACTATGACTTTTTTTCATGATTTGGACTACACATGTTTTTTTTTTTCTTGATTTTGATGTTTTTTGGAACATTTTTATGACATACCATTCTATGACATTTTATGACTCTTATGACATACTGGTCTGTGAGAATTTTTTTGAGCATTTTTATGACATACTAGTTTATGACTTTTTTTTAGCATTTTTTTTTTATGACATAGTAGGACATTTATTTGACATACTATACTATGGCATTTTTTATGACAAACTATACTGTGACATTTTTTATGACATACTATACTAGGATTTTTTTTTCTTCTCCATTTTGGCACGAATTACTATACTAAGACAACGGCTTTTTATGGTATACTTTAACTTACATTTTGTGACATACTATGACTCTTTAAATTACATTTTTCATGGCATACTATACTATGACTTTTTATGAGGTGAGGAGGATTTACAATGCAGCAACAAACCTCTTGTTTATCTTTCAATTTTTAGCTACGCAGTTCTGGAGGTCCAAGGTGCTTGAGGTGGCCAAGGACTTCCCAGAGTACACATTTGCCATTGGTGATGAGGAGGACTACTCAGACGAGCTGAAGAGCCTGGGCCTGAGCGAGAGCGGAGAGGAAGTGAATGTGGGAATCCTGGCAGAGGGAGGCAAAAAGTTTGCCATGGAGCCGGAGGAGTTTGACTCTGAGGTGCTGAGAGACTTCGTTATGGCTTTCAAGAAAGGTGAGTGTGGAGTGGTTGTGTCTTAGAAAGTTGGATCATGTAAAAGGAGCACGGTCTGGTTTGACCATTTGAGGCAAATGCAATTTTCAGTGTTGATACATTTTTTTCAATCAATCAAACTTTATTTATATGATTGATACATTTTTTTTTTAAGAAGCTTTTAAAAGCCATTTCTATCTTACGTCCGCAGGAAAGCTTAAACCCATCATCAAATCCCAGCCAGTGCCAAAGAACAACAAAGGACCAGTTAAGGTTGTGGTAGGAAAGACCTTTGACGAGATCGTCATGGATACCCAGAAGGATGTCCTGATAGAGTTTTATGCTCCCTGGTGCGGCCACTGTAAGAAACTGGAGCCTGATTATTTGGCTCTGGGCAAGAAGTACAAGGGAGAAAAGAACCTGGTGATCGCTAAGATGGATGCCACAGCCAACGATGTGCCAAACGAAAACTACAAAGCGGAGGGCTTCCCTACGATATACTTTGCCCCAAGCAACAGCAAGCAGAGCCCCATCAAATTTGAAGGTGGAGACAGAACAGTAGAGGCCTTCAGCAAGTTCTTGGAAACGCACGCCACAAAGCTATCACAGAAGAGAGACGAACTCTGAAAATGTGTCTCCATAAATATCTAAGAACTCTACCCGTGCTCGGGCAGTGTCAGAGGACGCTGAAGAGGCCTCTGGGAAGGTGAAGGGAACGCAGTGGAATTAAACGGTGTTACTGAGTTGCTGTGATGATTACAATGTCCAATCATCTTTTTTTTAGTTCCTGTTCATTCCAAGAGATTGAGCTTTCTTCTGTTTTCTAAAAGCATGTAAGCACTGTTGAAGATTTCAGTCTTTTTAAATAAAACTAAAAATGATGGTGGCTTTGTGGGCCAGGACTCAGGTGTGACTCTTTGTGACTGTAAATCAGTACAAGCTGGAAAATGTTTATTGCACACATTTCAGACAAGTGGTCTAGAAATTCAAGTGTTTAATTAAATTTAAGAACAATTTTAAATATTAGTGATAGAAATGGCTACATTCTGAGACAGGCCTTGAAACATTTGGATCGCCCTGACAATACTCAAATTCTCAACATGGTGCATCCTCTACGGCTAGTCAAGTTAATCACCTACCTAACATGTTATTACATTGATACTTCCACCTAATTTGGCTGTTAAAGTCTTGGCAAGAGAGATATGCACCTGTAGCAGCAACTGTGACAAGATCATCTGAATTATCTTATTCTCTTTCAATAACATACAATCAGAACTGTAACATCTTTTTGAACATTACAAACCTGGCCGGGTAATACCTTGGGAAAGTGCATCATTCGCTGAAAATCATTACATCATCACATGTACATACACGAGCAGGACATCTAACTTTCACTAGCTGTCTAAACAAACGCTTTCAATGTTCCTCAGTGATGCAAAACAGTGAAAATATCCATAAAAAATCTGATCTAGAGTGAATACAGCCTTCAGATGAGAGATGGGTGGGGCAGGAGGTGACATCAAGACTGCTTCACCCTTAGGCACTTGAAGATACTGGCACTGAATGAGTTGGTTCTCGAGATGATTGTTATGAAAATTCTTTTGTGAACCGCAGGTGGTAGTCATGGATCCTCTGCAGCACGATCTTCAGCTTCTCAGTCGGAGGCAAGATGGTCATCCTGGACACAACAAGAGGAAGCAGGATGTGGGTTAAAGGGACTATACACCCCAAAATCAAAAATACATATTTTTCCTCATAACTGTAGTGCTGTTAATCAGTCTATCTTATTTAAATGAGAGCTGCCAAGTGTCGGGATATCAACTGGTTTGAATCACTAAAATACCCATGTTTGTGCAGGGATTGTTTTACCGTACTAACCTGAAGTGAAAGGTTCCCTCTCTCTGGCCAAATCCACTTCCTGGCACCAGGCAGATACCCTCCTCCTCCAGCAGCCTCATACAGTAGTACATGTCTGGGACCAGGCCTTCCTCCTGTGGGCGTACATATACACATTTCAACACGTTCACACAGACCAGGTAAATCAGGCTGATAAGTGATATAAGGTGTATGTGCAGAGCAGACCTTTGCCTTATCAATGGCCTTCTGCGGTAGAGTGATGCGGGGAAAGGTGTACATGGCCCCCTGCACAGGGTTACAGATGATACCAGGTACAGTGTTGAAGGTCTGCTCTGTAAGCCTGGCCTTCTCTGCTAAAGCTGATAACACTGCTGTCCGCTCCTGGAGAGGAAACAAGATTAAGGGATCATTGTATATCCTCGATATTTCAAAAATGTCTATTCGATCTATACTTTTAGTATAATATGTCTTTTAAAAGGTAAAACAAAAAAAAACAAAAAATCCAGTCTGTCAAAAAATGTTATAACAATGTGGTAGTTTAGTATGTCATAAAAATATAAAAAATGTCATAATAAAGTATGCCAAGAATGTTTTTAATGTTATAGTGTAGTATGTCATAAGAAATGTCATACTATAGTATGTCGTCCAAAATAATGAAAAAAAAGTCATAGTATAGCATGTCGTCCAAAATAATGAAAAAAAAAGTCATACTATAGCATGTCGGCCAAAATAATGAAAAAAGTCATACTATATAGCATGTCGTCCAAAATAATGAAAAAAAAAGTCATACTATAGTATGTCGTCCAAAATCGTGAAAAAAAGTCATAGTATAGTATGTCGTCCAAAATAATGAAAAAAAAGTCATACTATAGTATGTTGTCCAAAAATCATGAAAAAAAGTCATAGTATAGTATGTCGTCCAAAATCATGAAAAAAAGTCACAGTATAGTATGTTGTCCAAAAATCATGAAAAAAAGTCATAGTATAGTATGTCGTCTAAAATCATGAAAAAAAGTCATAGTATAGTATGTCGTCCAAAATCATGGAAAGAAGTCATAGTATAGTATGTTGGTTGATTTATCAACCTTTATCCTTTTTTAAAACCCCATGGACTCCGTCATATATTTGATCCTCTTTACTAAGCTTAAAACCTCTTCTCAGAATGTCAGAGGATTCAAAAGCTGATTATTAATTATTCAGTGCTGTGTGAGAAGCTCAGCAACTTCAGCACACTCAATACAGGCTTTGTGTGCATACCGGAATATATGGTGTGTTGTTTAAGTGTTTGCAGAAGTGCATTCTGTGTTTGCATACACTCAGAGCATTACCAGGATGTGAGTGCTAGCTGATTTGTTTGTCAGACCTTCATAAAAGTGTTGTAGGAGGGCTCATCCGGCTGCGGGGGGTTGACCACCAGGTCCATGAGAGCCTGTCCGGGTACAGGGGGGCACAGACGCACCGACACCAGTTTGGTAAGCTGGGCCTTCACCTCAGGGTCCATGTTGATCACCTCCATGTAGCCTCCACGGAATCCACACCTGACAAAAACAAATAAAGGAAGGGAGCAAGTCAAACACAACGTGTATTCTTAGCACAGGTAATGGACACGTCAGCAAGGTGACAACTCCTAGGGTCGTTTATGTAAAAGTATACAAGACAGCCTGATGTAAATATGTACAGTCCAGTCAAGTCCAGTCTGTGCGTGTTAAGCGACTCACTCTCCCATGTAGCATTTGGACGTGGAGTGGAAGGAGGCCAACTCCACCGTACCGGAGTATTCTGGTCCCATTTCAAACAGAACCTTCTTAAAGGAGTGAAACTTACAGCCCTCTGCGTACACATTATCCTGGTAGACCTGAAGTGGAAAAACAGCTCATTAAAAACCCATTAGAATATAAAATAGAATAACTGAAACATGCAGTATATCTTAAGAGAGTCGACTGAAGTAGGGTCAGTGAAGAGCAAATGTGTTGATAGCAAAATACTGAGCTTCTGTACATGTCATGATTTAAGTGAGTATGTTACTGTTTTTAGTCATAAATAAACTGAAATAGCAGAAAGTTAATTGTGCTGCTCTGTGTGTCGTTTGAAACTTTGAAGCTTCTTATAATTCTGGATGAACACCTGCTTTGACATCACTAGTATCACTCTTTGTGAAAGACAAAACTGAGAGTGAAAAACATTTGAATTGAGGATATGACATGGGTGCATTACTTCATCCGCCATGAGGAAGAGATGCTCCTCTTTAGCAAATCGGATCACATCTTCAATGCACTGTCTGCTCTGGACCTGACCTATCACACAGGACAACCAGAGATCCATTATGTAAGTCGGGCGTGCACATACACACTGAGAAAATTATGTTTCATTTAACACACAGAAACTACGATCTCCAGACATACCAGTGGGGTTTCCGGGGTTGATGATGCAGAGGACGCGGGGGTTGCAGTGCTGCCTGGCTGCATTGACGGCTCTCCTGAGCTCTGCCACGTCCAGACTCCAACACTTATCCTCGTCCAGGTAGTAGCTGATCTGCACAGCAGCCAAGTCTGCCAGGGTGGCTGAGTACAGAGGGTACTGGGGGATGGAGATCATCACCCCTGTGCGATCACGACCCTCGCCACACACCAGTAACTTCAGCATGGTCTGGGATTAGGAGGTGGAGGGAGGAAAAAGGAGGAGGAAAGAAAGGAGAAGGAGAGAGAAAAGAGAAAAGTTAAGGTGGGAGTAATAGAGCACTGGTTCTCAACCTGTTTTGGGTACTGGACATCCTGCAATGCTCTAACTGTAGTATAAAAGGTTTTTTTTTTGTCATTTTCATCTTTCATCTTTGTAGTCTTTCTGCATTTTTTGATGTTCTCTGTCTCTTTGTGGTGATTTTGTGTGTCTGTTTTTGGTCATTTCGTGTCTTTTCTGGTCATTCAGTGTCTTTTTTTGTCAGTTTGTCTTTTTTTGGTCATTTTGTATCCCTTTGTGGTCATTTTGTGTCTTTTTTTAGTCGTTTTGCATCTTATTTTTGGTCACTTTGTATATTTTTGTGGTCATTTCCTATCTCTTTGTGGTCATTTTGTTACTTTTGTGGTCACTACGTGTCTTTCTTTGGTCATTTTGTATCTCTGCCACCATTTTGTGTCTATTTTTTGGTGTCTTTTCTGGTCATTATGTGTCTTTTTTTTTGGTCATTTTGTGACTTATGTGGTCATTTTTTGGTAATTTTGTATCTCTGCGGCCATTTTGTGTCTTTTTTTGGTCATTTTGTATCTTTAATTGGTCATTTTGTATCTTTAATTGGTCATTTTGTGTCCTTTTTTTGGTCATTTTGTATCTTTGCAGCCATTTTGTGTCCTTTTCTTTGGTCATTTTATATCTTTAATTGGTCACTTTGTGTCTTTTGGTCATTTCATGTCTCTTTGCAGTCATTCCGTGTCTTTTTTTTTGGGTCATTTTGTATCTCTGCGGCCATTCTGTATTCTTTTTTTGGTCATTTTGTATCTTTAATTGGTCACTTTGTGTCTTTTGGTCATTATGTGTCTTTTTTTGTCATTTTGTGACATATGTGGTCATTTTTTGGTCATTTTGTATCTCTGCGGCCATTTTGTGTCTTTTTTGGTCTTTATGAATCTTTTATTGGTCATTTTATGTCTCTTTGCAGTCATTTTGATTCTCCTCTTGGTGAGTACGTTTTGCAGGTGAAGACCCTGCCAATTTGGGCCCCTGGGCCTGCGCCCCGTAGACCTGTTCAGTAATCCATCCATGGTTGTCACCAGCGATCTCATCCACCCTGCGCCATATCATGTCGTTAAGATAGCGGCACACAACAGAATGTTGTTGTTTCTACTATCCAGATTTGCGAGATGTTAGGCAGGCATTCAGTAAATTACTAAAAATTGTGCCAGTTATTTTAAGATTTTTTGCAACGTCACACAAAAACAATTCATAAAATATTACATAAAACATTTTCATAGCAACTATGGCTATTTATATTAATGAATTGAATGCCTTTTTAGTATACACAGGATGCAAGTAATAAAATAAGACCTTTAATATGATATATTTTATCATTTCACGGACCCCATGCAATTACACCATAGAAGACTAGGGGTCCTCAGACCCCCAGAAACAATGTAGTAGAAAGCATTATTGGGAAGAACATGCAGTACATAAACTGGCAGGATGTTCCTTTCAGTATCAGTATTTAATAATAAAAAAAAGATGCATATCCAATCAGTTCTGGTGATTTGGCACTACACGGTTCCACAATAAAGACTGAAAAAGCTGCTAGAGATAACTTGATGTACTTTACAACAGCAGAATAAACAAACACACCCACACTGAGGGCCAAAAGCAGTTTAACGCTGCAGGGAGCAGCAGAGATCTCATATTGCAGTGGCTGAGTCTATCTTGAGGTCATTCAGTAGCCAGATCAAGTTGCATAAATCTGGAGAAAGTTGCGGTGACAAAGGTACATGAGTGTATAATTAACAGAAGCTGAATAAATAACAGATTCAGGCTTCAATTCTAGCAAAAGTATGTCACCTGTGCCAGCAATTTAAGATAATATATCAACTCTTGGACCTGGCCTTCAGAGACAATAAAAAGTGAAACCCATACCACGATGGCATCACTGGCTCCAGTGGAGAGGTAGATGTTGTCAGGGTTGGAGGGGATTCCACCGTCTCTCTTCTCTATGTAGCGCGCCACATCCCGACGGATGCATTCAATGCCCTGGCTGGCACTGTAGGCCCCTTGAACACATGAACATGGACTTTGATTCAAACACACAACATTGATCAGTTGATGCTCTGTTTGAATAGTGCACACACTGTCCGGATAAATTATTAATGAGTAGACAAATGAAGGTGGATGCTAGTGACGTGTGTGTTGGATGAGGGGATGTAAATGTGGTTGGTGGAGTGAGGGGGGTGTTGTCTGACCTATACTGTGGCCTCCACAGGCGTCCAGAATACGCTGTGCTCTTTGCTTGGCGTCCTCTGGAAACTTGTTGTCTTCCAGGAGTTCGGGGTAAGAACACAGAGCCAAGACCTGAGAGAGGAAACCAAAAATACACACATGAGGTGCCCTCGCACATTAAGCATGAATGTAGTAAGTCCAGTTTCACATGCAGCAGTGAATGCTACCATATAATTACTCAAAAGCAATCAAAAGACTTGAGGCAATAGACAGCTCTCCTACCTGTCTGAGAAATGTGATTGGTTTCTGCCCCATGGCGTGGGCGTCGCCTATGTTAGCCTTGATGACTTCTGTGAAAGGTTTCTTGACTCCCTGGAAAGATAAAGACAGAGAGGTATGCAGGTAAACCTCTGAGCGTACGTTAAGGAACAAGAATGGAAGGTAGTTGAGAGAGGGGGGAAAAAAGTGAGAGCCTGGTGACTTTCTGTTACGTCTTACATGAAGCGACAGCTCCTCAACAAACAGGATGTGTGTGAACATGTTATAAGGTGTAACTGGGAAGGAGACACGTAAGTCAAGACACTGAAAAGCTCCTACGGGGACATGGAGGAGGGGTAAATATACAACTCCAATTCCAAAAAAGTTGGGACGCTGTGTAAAATGTAATTAAAAATAGTTCATTTTAAACATTAAATATCTTGTCTTTGCACTGTATTTAACTGAATATTGGATAAAAAGAATTTACAAATCACTCTATTCTGTTTTATTTAGAAAGTGCGTTGCATCCTCCCAAGAAATATTTCTGAGTCTCCATGCACACCTCCTGCAGCAGCGCAACATGCAAAGGGCTTGGTGAAGGTGAATAAAGATCAGCGGGTGTCTCAGCCAGTTACATCACTGGTCTCAAAGCTCTGAAACACCTGTGCCAATGGCAGTTACACATGATAACAACCGCTCTGCAAACCGAAAGCTTTATCTCAGGAATTGTCTGGTTGGTTCAGAGCGTCACACATCACCACAAACCTGCACCCAAAGACAGATGGAGTATGACAGCCATAATTCTATGCACATGGTCACATAGTATAGTAATTAATGTTACACAACAGTGTTTGCACTACGCTACTTTTTCCTAAAAGGAAAATTCACCTGAAAACAACACCAGGCTGCGGCAGTGTAACCACACAGACTTCTACAAACATCAAGCTGGTCTGTTACAACTCGACATTCTGCCTTTATATGACGGAGACGCCTGGTTTCTGGGGCTTGTCGTGTCTTTTTTTTTTTTTAAGATATTTTTTGGGCCATTTTGCCTTTAATGGACAGGACAGGTAAGCGTGAAGGGGGGAGAGAGAGAGGGGGGATGACATGCAGCAAAGGGCCACAGGCTGGATTCGAACCCGGGCCGCTGCGGCAACAGCCTTGTACATGGGGCGCCTGCTCTACCACTAAGCCCCCCCTCCCAACTTTCTTTTTGGCAAAAGTAGCATCTTACGTTTAATTCTTGAAACACACTGCAGTGCAAACGCTGTTGCGAAAACTTACTTAACTCGACAGGCTTATATTTGGGACAGGCGTCTATATGGGGCAAGATTAATCCCTTTCGCACAAAACAATTGCTCAGCAAAGATGAGGAAATACAATGAATTTGTTTCTTTAACTTGTGTTACCCCTGGACATTTTTGTCCATTTCCAAAATTCAAAACTCCCTCACAGACAAATTAAAAGGTCACAGGGGGGTGATTTTTTGCATGGGAGTGTCATTCTGGGTGAAATTTCAAAATCCCAACTTTCAGCATGAAAATCCATTATTTGACCCTGTAATGCATTTTTATCCCAGCAACAATAACAAATGGCTAAATGACAGGTGGACATTTTTGTCCACTTGAAGGGGTATTGATAGGATAAAAATGCATTACAGGTTCAAATAATGGATTTTCATGCTGAAAGTTGGAATTTTAAAATTTAACCCAAAATTACCCCCCATGCAAAAAATCACCCCCCTGTGACTTTTTGTTGGACACTACAAAAGTTTCTAGAAAATGGACATTTTTGTCCACTTGAAGGGTCATGGATGTAACTTTTTTGAAGGGGAACACAAGGGTTAAGCCAGTACGAATTAACCTGGCCCTAGCAAATTCAAATTTGCACTGCACGGGGATCTGGCCCCGACGAGCAGAGCACTTTGAATCGCAAATCGGACCAATCAGATCAGTCTATCTGACAGAGGTGGGCTCTGGGCGGACGTAACATGATGAGGACAGCGCTGCGCCGTAGGAGTAAAAAAGCAAACAGCCAAGATGGCAGCTTTAGCTTTGGAAGAAACGCTAAGCCAACTACACTTATCTTTTTCCTTGAGAGAGGAACAGAAGACTGCCCTAGAAGCCTTCGTTTCCAGGAAGGACGTTTTTGCTGTTTTGCCGACGGGATACGGCAAAAGCATAATATATCAGTTAGCCCCACTGGTCAGCAAACCAATGGGGCTTAGTGCAATGAATACGTCACCTTGTTTTTTGCTCTGATTGGCCATCGTGCTATCCAATTGCATGCGGCGGCATTTGGAATGCCTCAGTTAGTGCCGCCCCTTGGGTAGGAAGGGTGCATCGGTGAGGGCCAGACTCAAAATCTTTCTAGATTTGAGTCTGGATTTCCAGGCTAAGTAAAAATATTACTAGAATAAAAATTAGGCCTATCAATTATGAATCATTCATTTGATCTAGCTCCGAGAAATACTTGTTTTGTGGCACCCAGCATACCGACACAGCACCACATTATCCTTTTAAAACAATACTCACGACTTGGATTGAGATTTATGAAAAACCATTTTGATAAATCTTGATGAATTTGTGTCTTTTTTGGTGCTCGTGCTTTAATTTTGGTAAAATTAACTGAATGATTAAATTGTGGAGTGTAAATTGTCTAACCGAGCTAACAATATGTAGCATCTCCATATTGACAAAATTCTAAACATTTATACTTGTATATTCGATCAAAGCCAACAACCTGTTATATATATCCAAATAACTTCTATTAAAAAAATGCACTGCTTGGCAACCAGACCGGGCCTCTAATGAGACAGGCCTTTATTTGTCTGAATGTGTATTTGAGTTCAGTTTCTTTTCCCCCCCTCACGTCTGTCTTTCTGTCTCTTCTTCTGCCTTCTTTATATAAAACATTTATTATTAAAATTAACAGGTTATAACATTGTGACTTCAGTTGTGACCTCTGAGTAAAACAGAGAGAAAATTCTACACGTATGCATTTTCTGCACAGTCGGCAGACATTACTAACCTCAGCATAAAAAATTTGATTTATTGACATTGGCTGCATGCCTGAGACATTCTTCCAACACCCGTGTTTCTAATCTTAAAGGTTATCAGGATAAGGAACATTCTACATTTGTACAGCTTCAAATTGTCCCTCACAGGACTTCTGTTGTGGTAAAATACAGTCTTTCAGAAACCAAACCCATGGCTCGGCACGTAGATCACATCAGACAGACTTTTATTCATCTCACACATGCATCTTCTCTCAGGAGCACCCTTTTGTTTCGCAAAGACCCTGGCACAGAGTCTGGTTTGGCTTTCGGAGCAGGAAGCGCTGGCCTGTGCAGAGATGACGTTGCTGCTGGGACTCACAGAGACACAAACCCCTTCTGTTTCTGGTTACGGACTTAAACAAGAATTGTTGGCTTAATTTAATCACATGACAAGCTTGAGTCTTTTCCACTACATTTCTCTCATCATCCAACCCATTTGCTCCTTCTGTCAAACTCACTATTCATCTTCAATGAATCAGAAAGTCCTTCATCTTCATCTCTTTGACCTAATTGGACCTGCAAACTCTGGTTTGGTGCCTGTGCGTCTGTTTGCTGGTGACAACATGCTGTATCTGTTGCTGTTTATCAGATGAGATGTGACAATAGATGTCTCCTGTTATCCTCATACCAGGGCTGAGCAAAGAGGGTTGAACAGATATGGTGATAATCATGAGTTTTAACTTTATGGTTTGTGCATTCAAAATCATACCATTTAAATACTTGTCATATTTTACTGCATACTGATGTGTAACACAATATCACACAAAACCAGGGTGTCTACAGGTATCAGAGTTTTTCAAGATAAATTTTAACCAAGTTTAAGACTGATTTTTTGGACAAATCATCTTGTTCTTATTCAAGCATTACAGGTAAGTGTAAAAGTGTGTTATGTGTGCAGACAAGGTAGGTTTGATGTAGGAATATGGTTATTAGAGTTAGGTTAATCTACATTTTGCCAACAGGTAAGTGCATGTATAAACATCTCTGTCTCCTAGAAATCACATTTATATACAACTATTTTGAAACAGCAAATACATTTTGAGGTAAACATCATGCTGAGCGAATTATGTTTTCTATTAACAAAATGAGGAATTAATGTACCTGGAAAAATCGCAAAAATGTTGATACTGAACGTATCAGCAAATCATTCACTTAAGCCCTGTTTCCACCCAACACTTTCGGTATGGTACCTTTGGAACCAAAAGTAACCCTTCAGACATGGTACCTAGACCCTAGGGTTTCCACCGCAAACAGTACCCTTAAATGTGGGTGGGAGTCTCTCTCCATGGGATATTTAAAAATAGTGGGTTTACCAGTTAACGTTCCACCTTCAAAGTCAACGGCAGTCGGCCCAGTGAATTAAGTTCAATTAAGTGAGTTAAGACCCCAGCTGCTGCAAGAGGCAGCAAAACATCCTTTCATTTTATAGTTACTGTAATAAAACTCTCCACGGTATGAACAGTGGTTACATGAGCCTCAAAACCAGCCACAACCAGCCGTCCTCTACTGACCAATCAACAGACTGCAGTGTACACAGCTCCACCTTTTCGTACCAGATCTGTGTGCTAGGTACCCCAACAGAGGGGTGAACAAAAATGGGGACGGTACAGAACGGTTCCATTGGTACCCTCCACAACTTTTCACAGTGGAAACGGAAAAAAAGCGTATAGAACAGAACTGTACCGTACCATTTATGATCTTTCCCTGAACTAAACATACTAACAAAGTGCTTTTATTGCATAAACCTGAGACAGGAGTCGATTGGTACGGTTACATGATGGCTTCTCATTCAGAATGAAATAAATCTGAATGAAATCATTCAGAATTAAAGTTTTTCCAGGTAGTTTACATGGGAAATATTCATTCCGAATGAGGGTTTACATGGGAGATCAGTTTAATCGCCTTTATTTGGGTCTGCGCAAGNTGTTTTGCTTATATTCTTGAAGCAGCAGTACAACAACAACCTTGTTCTGCTAATGCTTCGTCTGTTGAGGAGGAGAAGAGAGGTAGAAGGTCGAAGAAGGGAGATAGAAGACCGCGCTGTGGCGAATGGAAA